AAAGACCTAAATACTTTTGAACATTATCAAACCCCACTCGAACCTCGATTTACGAGTAATTGAGGTTCGTTTTCACGGAATTCCCTCGATTAATGCTAGTGAACGAATTATTCCTCGATATTTGGGATGTGAATGATAAATTCACTATTATTTGCTCAGGCACACACGAGGATCTTCAAGAGGATTCCCCGGTGGACGCTTGAACTTCCCTTGACCTTACTCACACCTAATATTTGGTGAGTGTCAGGTATATGTAAACTTGTTACATGTTTAATTGTTATTAATGATTGGAAATCTTGAAAGTGGAGTCGAGTGTGTACTTTACCACACTCGTACTTATTAGAAATGAAATTTTAGTGATTGAAATGCATTGAATGAATGAAATGTATTGGTATGCTAGCTGCATACGTCGTTGGAGTGAATCTCCTCGACACACAAGTGCACATGGGGGACGCCCAAATCTCATTGGCCGACCTTGGACTCGATCCGGCATGGGCTTGGTCGGGAACCTTGGCGAACCATGAGATATATAAGTTTGACCTAATGAGAGGTCTTGCTTGGCATAATCGAATAGTATCGCCACAAACTAATGACAGGCGGGCCCGATACAGGGGTATGTAAGGTGAAAGGGGACAGGTTAAGTAAAGTTCTACGGACTAAATCTACCCGATTAACGGAGTGTCAATTCGTGGAGGTTATTGCTCGTGCAAGTGGAACTCAGCTCCTGAGAGCTACTATATCCTTGAATTGTTTCTGTTTACTTTTCCCGCTCGAATTGTTATTTATTGCAATATTATGGCTTGACTTGTAAATTGAAATTGTTATTTTAGCAATATGCTTGCATGTGTGTTCTTGGCCTCATGAGCGTTTTGCTCACCCTGTAGATTTGTTTTCCTTAACAGGACTGGATCCGGGGACGTATTGGAGAACCCCTCTTGATGTACTTTTGTTTAAGGTTTCTATCATCATTTTGTCTATGCCTCTTGGTTTTGGGTTGTACTTCTGTATTTAGAATGTAGTACTTGGGCATGAGATGAATTTGGGTTTAAAGTTGTTTTTTGAACACCCGATGTACGGGTTGGATAATAGATGACCATGGTTAACTTGAACGCTTCCGCATCACTGTGTTTATGTTTTGTACTTGTGACTATTAGATTAGTTATAAGTTTGAATGTTTTGCGTGAGTCCTGGCGAGAGTTGGGCAGGCGTCCCGCAGATACCCTTTGGTTCCCCTTAGGGAGAAGTGGGGGCGTCACAGGATAAGGATGAGAAATTGACTTGAACTAATTAAAATTATGGTATAATTGACTCTGCTTTACCTGATATTATGAGTACTTGAGGTTAGTTGAATGATTGCATAATGATTATTTTCCTTGTTTTGAGAACATAAAGTAGAATGGTACATATGTTTATTTTCAAAATTTTGGATCATTGTTGGTTTGCATTTCTAATTGCTTGAGGATAAGTAATGATTCAAGTGTGGGGGTATTTGATAAGTATATATTTTATGTGTGTTAGGTGTGTTTTATTAGTTAGTTTTGGGGTGCTTTATTTAGTTGTATAACTAATTAACTAGAATTCTAGTGAAAATATGCATTTTATGATTTAAGTGGTAAAAATTACATTTCTATGGATTTTAATGGAAAAACCTTCATGTTTTTTGTTGGTTTAAAGATTCATTTATCAAATGGCATGATTTGAGAAGATAATTGGATGATTGATAATGGTTTGAAGTGATAAAAAGAGAATATGAAGTGTAAGAGAGAAAATGCAATCAAGAACAAAAGAAGAAAAGTTTTTCAGCTTTGACACTTTGTGGTATTTTGAATATATCTTGAGTTACAAGCATCGGATTGAGATAATTTTTAAACCATTTTGAAACTAAGAGATATATCTACATTTTGTTTGAAGACATCAAAGTCCAGTTCAGTTGTTTTCATTGTCAAAAAGTTGAAATACGGAAGTGCAACTCTGTTGTCGAAAGTTGAAACAGAGTTCTAACCAGTTGATGGTATTTTGGTCATTTCTCAAGTGCCGTTTCGTAAGAGGGTTTCGAAATGAAGAATTAGAATAAATCTCATAATTACTGTTTGGATTACTACTATCAGAATTGAAATTTTGGAATCATATCTAAAAATTTGGAGTTTCCCAATTCCTTAGTAACCTGTAGGGTTTTGGACAAAACCCAAGTTTGATTTCCATTGAGAAACGGGCCCGTCCTGCCACCAGTTAAAAAAATTAATATATAATTATATACACATATATAATTATATATATTATAATTATAATATTTTATTATAATATTAGTGTAATCATATAATATATTTATAATAATAAATATAATTATATTTATATTTGTAATTATTATATACACATATATATAATATATTATATAAATATATATTACAATTATTTAATTAAATATAATTATATTTATTAATATCATATAATAATATATGTATATTATTTATAAATGTGTATTATATGTGCATATAATTATAATATACATGTGTATGTAATAATATATTATATAGTTATAATTGTATTTATTATTATAAATATAATAATATATAATAATTATATTTAATATATAATATACATTATAATTATATATTTATATTATAATATTTGTATAATTATATTTAATTAGATGTATAATAATTAATTTAATTAGTTCCAAACTTATAATAATGATATTATTAGTTATATTTATTATATAACGTATATCAGTATATGAAAGATAATTGATATTATCAATTATACTAATAATTATACATGTTTACTAATAGAACTTAATAATTAGTTTTACTAAATTTATTAACACATTTAATTAGTGAAAATTTCTTATATTTCATTTCGAAAGTATCAATGAACTAAACATCAACTATAGTAATGATATACATTTCTGGTACTGAACCAGACAGATGTATTAGAATGACTAATTCCATTCCAAATGTGTAATGAATGATCCCAAATCCAAATCTGATTCCAAGGTGCGAACCAAACGACACCTCAGTCTACAGAGCTCCAAATGGGATGATTCTTGAGGCATTAGAAATCTAACTCAAATGGCTACAACTTTCATATTTTGCACAAGAACTAGTTCGGCCTCCTTCATTGAGAAAATAGTAGTTGAAGTGGTGCCAAATGCACAGAAGTGAAAATGCGACTTCATGAATACATGGCTTGAAGTCGCATATTCTCTTCTGTTTTCTGTAACTTGCTCATCAACTTCCCCTGCTTTGACACCAATTTTACAACTCAATTCCACCTATCAATTCCGGCTATATCTGATCAAGAAAAGGTTGGAAAGTTGGAAATACAACTCATGAGAGTTTCAAGAGTAAAAAATGACAACTAAAAACAACTCATTTGGCTCTTGAATCCTCCATAAATAGCAACCTTTGAAGGCCATTTTGATAACTTTACAAGGCTAGAGAAACTCACCAAAAATGTAGTTTCCACTAGTTTTTCTTAGTTCATTAGTATAGTATAGATAGAGTAGTTTATCCTTCTTGTATTTGTAGCTAAATTTGGATGAAGATTGAGGAGTAGATTCTGGACCAAAACCGTCGCACTTTTAAACCCCATTTAGGCCCATTTTATTTATTCAAAAACTCATTTTTCACCAAAAATAAATCCAAAATTCATTTTTCTAAACTCGTAAATTTAATTTGTTTTTCTTTTTAAAAATGGGACGCGACAGTTTGGTGACTCCACTGGGGATTTAGAGAGTCCGGCATTCGATTTAATCAATTCTTTTCTTTATCTAACCTTCTTATATATCACATTTTGAGGTTTTAGGTTGCATTTTTTCCTTTTTAGGGTTTGCATTTCACACGTATAAATCATCTAGATATTCATGTATGTGATAAATAATGTGTTTATTTTCTTTCATTCACTTGTGTTTATGTATCACGCTTGCATATTGGGGAGGGGAATAGCCACCCTAGAACCTTTACCCTCATTTGATGGTATTTGATCCCTTCCTTCAAAAGGAACACTTCATACGTGCATACGTTTTACTTTATAACCCCTCATTTTTTTTTAACTTTTAGTGGTTGTCATACCACTCTTCCCTTATTAGGATTAGATCGATCCACTTGGACATGTGACCGTGGCACAACGTGCGCATAGCAATGTCCGAAGGATCACTCGAACCACCGACTCTTAGGCATTGGAATTAATGACCCTTCGCCTTTGGTCTGAAGGTTTGGGAGTTTGAAACCTTATCAAGTTTAGATGCATTAGTGAGCCAAATCTCATGTATCCATATTAGTAATCACCTAGGGTAGAGTCGACCGTATCCAACTAGAAACACTAGGCACGAAGGGAGGGATTCCACCCCTCATTACTTAATTTTCTTTTCGCTTTTTGTATCATCTAATTACTCAACGTGTTATGTGTTATCTGTTGAACTAACGTTTCCTTGTTTTCTCGTCTTTTGCATTCACAAACACTAGGAAATAAGAGTTCTGGCATGATACTCTTTTAGAACCTACTCTCTTAGATAGGTTATTGTATGTTTAAAATTCCAATATATTGCATTTGTAGGTTAATAAGTGCACATCATATGACATCCCGGATTTTTGTGTAAGAAGAAGAAAGTGTGGCGATTTGAAAATTTGCTCATATTTTCTTATAATTCCATCTTATTTTGAATAAACTATTTTATAATTCTTTTACTGCTACTTTACTTCCTCATTAGTTGTAATATATAAAAGAATCAAGAATTTTACCTTTAGTTTTATAGTTCGGGTTGTGACGCCCCACTTCTCCCTAAGGCGAACCAAGGGGTATCTACGGGACGCCTGCCCAGCTCTCGCCAGGACTCAAGCAATTCCATTCAAACTTATTACCAGTCTACACAACACAAGTAAATAACTCAAATATAGTAAATGCAGAAGCGTTCAAGCTTAACAATAGTCATCCATTATCCAACCCGTACATCGGGTGTTCAAAATACAACTTAAATCCCAAATATACATTGTGCCCAAATATTACATTTCAATTCCAAAAGTACAACCCAAAACCAAGGGTATAGCCAAAATATAATGGAAACTCTAAGACAAGAGTATATTAGGAGGGTTTCTCCAATACATCTCCGAGTTCAATCCTGTTAAGGAAAACAAATCTACCGGGTGAGCAAAACGCTTGTGAGGCCAAGGACACACATGCAATCACATAGTTCAAATAACAAGCCCAATTAACAGGTCAAATAATAAAGTACAAGTAATTGCCAATTCAAATGGAATGTAAACAGAAACAATTCAAGGATATGGTAGCTCTCAGGAGCTAAGTTCCACTTGCATTGCCAGGATCATTCGTATACCTTCCCGCGATGACTCTCCGTCAACCGGGTTGGTATTTCCAATCCGTAGTTCTCCACTTACTTCCCTCCATCCATCATTTCACCCCCTCGGATCCGTAACCAACAGGCATGTAAAGGCGATACTATACTAGTATGCCAAGCAAGATCTCAAAAGATCAAGCTTCAGGTCCCAAGATTTACCAAGTTCTCCCGACCAAGACCTCACGATTGGCTGTGAGATTATGAGGTATAACCATTGGGTTTTGGGCGTCCCCACAAGTCAGGTTTTCAGAAACAAACCAAGTTTTAGTCGATGAGTTTTTCTCTGCATCCAACTTTAGGCCATGTACATGTAAAATCCAGCAATTTCATGTAATTCATGTAGCAAGTCATGTATTGATCCAAGTAAAGGAGATAAAGTGCGGTAAAGTACACACTTTCCCCAACAAGTACAGTTCAAGTAACAACAGGTTCAAGTAGAGCTCATGTAGGCAACAAATCTCAAGCGAAGTGCAAGTAAACATGCACTTGACACTCACCCAGTCAATCAAGGAGAAATGTTACTTGGAGTTCAAGCGTCTACCGTAGGATCCTCTTGAAGGTCCTCGTGCGAGCCTGAGCAATTAATAGTGAAAATCACTTAGAAGCCCCATTTATCAAGGAAGTTTGCACCCTTCTGCAATTCTAGAAAATTTTACTAAAAATGAGCCTAAATTACTCACAAATTAAGGCTCAAATGTGGAGTTTTAAAGCGCAAGAGAAATCAAGTTTTCATCTTTAAAATCAAGTATAAAACGTTCAGGTAATATCAAAGGAATAAGGAGTACTTTTAAAAACTCCATTTCCTTGGAATTTGGAAATTTTCAGTTTTGATATGATACATTAGAAAAATCGTATCTCACGTTTTACAAGTCAAAAATTGGAAAACTTGGTACCGTTGGAAACCTCTTCCAAGGTACTAAAAGTTTCTAGAATACACATTTCTAAAATTCCAAATGAACAACATTCAAAAATAATCTCAAAGTTTCTGTTTTGGTTTCTAAGGTAATTTAGGTTGGTTTTTGGCCAACTTTGAAAATTTGGTAAAATTCACTTGATTGGAACTAGCTCTTGAAATTTGGAACTCTTTTAGAGTCACAATCCAAGTTTACAACAAAACAAGCGGAATGGGAAGCGGAGCTTTAAGTACTAAGATATGGCAACTCAAAGTTACCAAAATTTCCTTGTGAAACATGGGTTTTTCAAACTCAAGTCATGAAATTTGGTAATTTATTTGAGCCATGAAACGGCCTCGGCATAACACCATAATTAGCAGTATAATACTACCATATAAGGGTTGTCCATCTACCAAATTTCATGGAGAAATAACTTCGGAATGGTAGTCAACCAAACAACCAAAGTTTCAAAAAAATCCTAAGGCAAAACTGTCTTGAGCTTTTTTTTTGTTTTCCATTCCAACCATTTGGCCAAGGAAAATCCTTCAAACATGGTTCATTTGTATAGGAAAAGCCTAAGGAACATTCATGGTACATTTGGTAGATGTTTTAACTCCAAAAACGCAATTGACAAGTCCATACCAAGTCTAACATTAATTCTGTCCAAGATTAAGGGTTTTCAAAGACAGAGCAAGTTTCATATTTTGATCACAAATCACTCAATTCAACTCGGAATTGAGTATGGTTGGTGGCGTTGGAAAATAAATTCATAAATCTATAATTTCACATAAGAAATCATTTGGAAATTCAGCACACAACTAGCTCAAATTCGAGCCTCAAGTTGTAGCTTCTGAACTTCATTCTAGGAAAACAGAGAAACAGGACAGTCATCTTTAAATGGTTGGTACGGGGTCCTCGGGTGGAATTAGAGGTTGAATTTTATACCAAATGAAAGCTGGGAATGTCTAATTTCCACTGCCGCAAACGGCACTCGATTCTGACATCGGACCGATGAATTATAGCCGAAACAAACTGGCTGTCTATTAGTGACGGGAATCATTTCCCAGTTTTTGGCAGATTCTAAAACTCAACATGCACTCACCCAAATCACATAAAATTTTGAGGAAACCTTAAACACAACCTATATTTCATATTTTCATGAGAATCAAGTCAATTGGACTTCAATAAAATACACTAAAATGCATGAAATTAGCAGGGCAGAATCAGCAACATCACATGTAGCTCCTCATTTGACTTCCTTTTCATTTTTGCCACTTAACTCTACTAAATTAGCACTTAATCAACACAATCAGCATCCAATCCTAGCTAATCAGATCATCCAAGTCATTGTGGGATTTCATAGAGCCCACTCACCAATTTCTCAACAATTTAAAGCTGCCCATGAGAATTCAAGAGCTCATGAGTGCAATTTAGCTTCCATAAACCAAGAATTAAGTAGTGGATCATTACTTACTTTCTTAGAGAGCCAAGGCAGAGAATTTCGGTCACTTTGAGCTGGAGAAAAACCGTGTGAGTTAGCTCTATTCGTAGCTTATCTTGATCACCAAATGATTTGAGGGTTGCATGTGAAATTTGGAGGAAATTGAGCAAGAAATTGAGGAGAGAGGGTGGAGGAATTTTCTGGTTTAGCTCTCCCTTGGCTGCTCGGCTGTTTGTGCAAAGGAGAGGAATGAAATGCAGATGATATGAGCTTCTAATGGTAAGCTTATACGTGTGGCTCAATTGCACTTAAGCTGTCCACTAACTTAGTGCACATCCGCGTGCGTTTCGGCTCGAATCCTCGCGAGTTTATTGCACTAGTGCACTAAACTTCTAATGCACTTGCATTCATATTATTATTATTCACTCTTAATAGTCCCAAAATAATGGTCTAAGGTTCCTCAATTACTCGCGTACGTAAAAACGCGTATTTCCAATTTAAGCGCGAGATAATGAAATTTCTAAGAAATTCCTATAACGGTAATATAACTAACTAACCTTTGAACACTTAAATATAAAAATACCTATTTTGAGACTAATGTGCAAGTCTCCAATTTTCCAAACTTATTGTATTTCCAAATCAGCTAAAATCCCCAATCGCGTAATCACTATTTTCACTTAACGAGCTTCCAAAACTTAAATTTTGACACAAGTCACTTTAAAAGTATAACGAAACTATAGACCCATGTAATTAGGTCTAAAGAGGTTAGAAAATAATATTCGGAATAAATGGGCAATTAAATATTCAAATGAGCTCGAAATAGGAATTTAAAATAATAAATTTTGCGAGTCCTCACAGGAGTCTAGTATTAATTTCTCGATTAACCTTTCTTAATCTACTATTCATTATTTTTAATTCTCCAATATTAATACACTCCTGATTCAAGTATAGCCTCGAAAACGTGTACTTGTTATTCCGAACTAAACGAATTTTTGAAAAGTGAATTTTTGCAACAAAACGTTTTAAAATATAAAAGAGGCGTTGTTCCATATAAATGGATTTTTAAATGGTCAAAATGAATAATTCGGAGAAAATGAGTAAATAAATATTTAAGTAAACTTGTAATATCCGATAAATAAGAAAATTTTTGGGTCCTCACACGGGTAAATTAGGATTTTCACGTATTTTGGTCGTGTGATCACTTGGTGAGATGTGTGTACTAAATTTGATGGTTAAAAGTGAGTTTTAGATAAGAAAAAGTGTGTGATTAGAATTGATAATAATAAGTTAGTGAATCATAGGTTAAAACCCTAGTACGCGCGAGTTAAGAAAAATAAGCTTGAACCGTCGCGCACCGTTTGCTACCAAGTGAGTAAACCACTTGAACAGTATTTTATTGCCTTAATATCCTTGTTTTTATTTTAGCTAATTAACCCTAAATTAACCCTTAAATCAGCCACCATTATTGACTAAGGAAAAGGAAAGAAAAGAAAAAAAAGAGAGAAAACTTGGCTTTGACAAGTGTCAAAGATCCAAGAGTTGTTGGCCAAGACCATTTCTTTCTTCTTATCTCTCTTGTTGGCTAAATTTTCTTTATTTCTAGCTTGGCTTGGCCGAAATTTTGGAAGAGGAAAACAAGAGGGAAGAAACCTCCAACTACATCTTGATTTAGCCTTATTTGAGTTGAATCTCAAAATCTAAACCGATTAAACCTTCATCTTGGTGTTTAGGAAGCTTTGTGTGGCAAAAGTTTTGGAAGACAGGGGTGTGGTTTTCACTTACAAGCAATTATTGGAAGGTATCATGATTGCAATTCTTTTTCTCTTCCTTAATCTTGTTAAAATTTGGATAGAAGCTTGTGTTCTTGGCTTATGATGGTTAATTAGTTAGTTTTGAATGATATGGTGGAATGTTTAGCTAGGGTTTGAAAGTTTCAGTTATGATTATTGTTGTTTATCTAGTATATGATGTTGGTAAACTTGGATAGGGACTTGGGGTAGTGATTCAAGACATGAATGTTATTTTAAGCATTGAATCATCAAATTTCCAGCATTAATGATAAATCTGCCCTGTTTCTAACCTGCATATTCGTCCATGTTAGAGGCCAAATCAGATCTAGGTCAAAACATGAAAGTTGTAGGGAATAGAGTTAACTATATGTCTGTGAAATTTCAGCTCAATCAGAGGATTGTAGTGTGTAAAATGACTACAATACCCCTAACTGGCAAATGCCCTATTTTGCGGGCAGCTTTTGCTTTCTTAGAAATTTCACATTTTGACCCTGAAAATGCATGAACTGGGTGTCAATGTCTTCATAGGAAATGTAGGTCTCTATCTTAGCTTTGAAACGCCATAAAATTTATCCCAATCTGATAAGTGTAGCTTCAGCTGTGACCAAAATGCCGGAAGATGTCAAACTTGTTACTTAGTCATTCGTCTTTAAAATTGGTTTCCAGCTTTGATTTTGATAGTTGCATTGCTAGAATTGATTTATATTTGGATGATATTGAGCCTAGTTGAAGAGGTATTTTATTATGCTTGCTTATGTGATGAATTTGGGTTGAATTGAGGAAAATAATGAAGCCATATATGGCTGGAAAATAGTAAAATACAAAGGGCATGCCGCCCAAATTTTCACTCAAGGGTTAGGCGTATGTACTCGCTACTTGAATGAAGACTTGAGGTCGAATTAGACTTGGTTTGTCTAGGATATTCGAGTTTTCTCTGAAAGAAGTATATAAGCTGAAATTTCATCGGAATTCGTGCCCTTGAAAAGTGAAAGTAGCGACCGTTTCAAAATACAATTTTCCCGGTCTTTGACACCAAGTGCGACTTCCAAAGTCTAAATCACTTCTTGATCAAAACTAAACAAGCGAGCATGAATTTTCTAGGGTTTGATAAGTAACTTGAATACTACTTAAACGAGTTTCATGTACTTGAGTTTCTTGAAGCAAAACTCCTGTGTTTCGAACCCTAGTTGATTTTAAACTCTTGCATAATTTTTTTATCGCAAATTTGGATTCCATCCAAGGAGTTGCACCTGGACATGATCTTGAAAAGTACTAGTCCTTTGATGAGTGCTTCCAAATGCATGTTTTTACTTGATACTTGCGTTTACATGTTTGACCAATGTGTTTCGACAATATTTGACTTGTTTGAACGGACAAGGGCGTACTTTATTGCACATGTCCTAAACATGACTTGTTGTTGTGCCTTGAGTGCACATGACTTGACATACGTGTATATGCGTGTGCACTCTGAAATTTCAGAAACCCTGAAACTAGTTAATCGAGTCGAGCGGGCAAGGGCCTGGTCGATTAGATAACAAACCCTGGGTCTCTTGTTTTGTCTAGTGGAGTGATACCTCCTCAACTAATTGGCATACTCGAGTATTACCACACGTGTTTATCTGAACGTTTGGGTCCGGTAAAGGGGTTGAATGGTGGACGGGTTGGCGTCAAGCAGGGCTCTACTGGATTGGTTACTTTACTTAAAAGTTGATGGAGCGTCAACTAATACTTGATCAAACTCTGGTGAAGCAAGAGGAATTTGGTTCCTAAGAGCCATCTGTATCTTTATACATTGATTGTTATTCGTAGTGTTATTGTTTCTTTTAGAAAAAGAATTTTATACTCTCTCATTTTCAGATTTGCTACTTGAAGTGTTATTACTCATTTTTATGGACTTGTTATGCTCGCTACTTTGCTACTTTGATACTTACACTTTTAAATAATGGTCAATTTGCTATTTGGAATCTCACTGAACTTTAGCTCACCCTATTCCATTAAATTTGTTTTCCTTATAGGGGTACGAGCGAGGGCATGAGACTGGTACAAACTAGCATAGTCTAGTTTTTAAAATTTTACGATTTTGCTCACGCTAGTGCTTGACTAGAGTTGGATGTATTTGAATTTTGGAATATTTTGATACATTTGGACATGTATGAGCCTGGGAGTTGGATTTAAGTATTAATGTATATTTTAATCTTGAAAATTGTTATTTTATTTCCTTTCTATGGTTGTAAGTTGTTTTCTTTCAATAAGTGAGTGAGTTCAGACAAAAGTTGGGCAGGCGATCTGCTAAATCTTGGGGTACGCCCTAAGGGGAGGTGGGGTCATCACACATCATTTTAGGCCTACCCTGGCATATAAAGGGTCCCTTTAGGCCATGTTTCATTTCAAATTGCATATTTAATTACTTTGATTAATTGGCATCATGTATAAACCTTAGAGGCAATGCCATTTAGAGAATCCCATATTAGGAATAAACCACCTTGTGTCATGGATGTGTAATCCAATGAGATTTGCACATTAATATTTTTTGTATCATCTAAAGCGATAGTGCACGAGGTAAGGTAGGATCCTATCTCCCAAGATAATAGAGTAACTTTTGCACATTAGAGTATGAGCATCTAACAATCATTTTTTGACCATTTTATCATAATGGGTAAAAATCCCTTGCTTAAAGGACATTAACTTGAAGAAATTCACAAATAATTTCTCATATTCCTCATTATTGAGATGATAAATATGTTAAGGCCAAATCTTGATTTTAGAAGGTTCATAGATTAATGCATCGCAATGAATTTTTTAAAATTACCAATGGGTAGACAATTCAATTGATTTTTGAATAAATTATCAATTTCATTCAATCCATTTGACCAATATATTCATCAATTTCATCCAACCTATTTTATCAATTCATTCATTTTTAGGACAATTTAGTTATTTTTGAATAAATCATTAACTCCATTTCATCTATTTGATCAATTCATTCACTTTTAAAACAATTTAGTCATTTTTGGGGGAATCTAGTCAATTTTTAAATAAACCATCAATTCCATCTATCGCATTTTTACGAGTTTATTTGCATCTAGGATGATTGAGTCGATTTTTTTTTGGGATAAACCCTCCGCTTTATACAATCTATTTGATCAATTCATTTTTTAGTATAATCTAGTCAATTTTGAATAAATTATCAATTTCATTCAATCCATTTGACCAATTTACTCATTTTAGAGTAATCCAGTCAGTTTTTGAATAAATAATCAATTTCATCCGATCCATTTGACCAGTGTATTTTCTTTTAGGGTTTTAACTTAAGGTTCACTGAATAAACTAGTCGAAACATTACAATCCTTTCAAGAGTAGGCACTTTTCACACATCACTTTACATGTTAATCAAAGTAATCAATCCATTCGGACTTTATCCTCATTTTGTTA